TGAAAAAAAGTTTAAAAGAACAGCATTTATTCAAAATATAAATATTTTCTAACAATATAAATCTGTGCGATCACTTCTTAACAATTTAACGCATCCTTGCTGAATAAAAGTTTTAATTTCTTAAAAAAAAAAAAAGAAAGAATAACAATATACTGACCCCAGACTTTTGAACGGTAGTGTATATTGTTAGAAAATATTTATATTTTAAACAAATGCTCTTCTTTTTAACTTTTTATTCATCAAAGAATCCTGAAAAAAGTATCACAGCTTCCAAAAACAATATTAAGCAGCACAACAGTTTCAACACTGATAATAAATCAGCATATTAGAATGATTTCTGAAGATCATGTGACACTGAAGACTGGAGTAATGATGCTGAAAATACAGCTTTGATCACAGAAATAAATTACAGTTTAACAGATATTCACTTAGAAAGCAGCTCTTTTAAATTGTAATAATATTTCACATTTTTTATGTTTTTACTGTGTTTTTAATCAAATAAATGCAGCCTTGATGAGCAGAAGAAAGTCCTGTAAAAAACATAAAAAATCATTCTGATCCCAAACTTTTGACCGGTAGTATATTTTTTTTATTCTGTGAAATTCTTATTTAAATATTAGGACATTGTACGTTGTGTTTGTTTCAGGACATGGATTACACATTAACTCTTCTGAATATTTCTTAAACATTTCTCAAGAGCTAGGAAAGAAAAGAAGTTCCTCTTAATCAAAACCAAACACAGAATGTGAGTAAATCCTCAGCAGTGAAAATGGACCTGATGCCTCCTACTGGTCAACAGCCGAGGAATATCCTTTTAATTATTTATTTATTATTATTATTATTATTTATTTAATGGTTTATTTAATTATTATAATGTGTTTCATTACTATTTATTTTATTATAATTTATTTATTTTTATTATTATTATTTATTGAATGGTTTATTTAATTATTATAATGTGTTTCATTATTATTTATTTTATTATAATTTATTTATTTATTTATTTTTATTATTATTATTTATTTAATGGTTTATTTAATTATTATAATGTGTTTCATTATTATTTATTTTATTATAATTTATTTATTTATTTATTTTTATTATTATTATTTATTTAATGGTTTATTTAATTATTATAATGTGTTTCATTATTATTTATTTTATTATAATTTATTTATTTATTTATTTTTATTATTATTATTTATTTAATGGTTTATTTAATTATTATAATGTGTTTCATTATTATTTATTTTATTATAATTTATTTATTTATTTATTTTTATTATTATTATTTATTTAATGGTTTATTTAATTATTATAATGTGTTTCATTATTATTTATTTTATTATAATTTATTTAATTATTTATTTATTATATTTTTATTCTAATAGCGTTAATTATTAAAAACTTATTGGAAGCAGTTCATTTTTTTCGACTATCATACAGTCTGCAGTACATATAAAAAAGTATATGTATTTTTTTTATGTATGTATTTATTTATTTATTTATTATGAATCCACAAGCTAGGTGACAGCAAATAAAATTGCATTGAGCGGAGCGCCGCCTGTCGGTCTAGAGGTGTATCGCACACTGCATCGGCTCCTCCTCTAGATTTCTTTCTAATGTTAAACTGACTTCCGGTTAATGTCCTTTCTAGCGAATCATTTCTCCTGTTCAGAGTCACGTGAGCTGTGACGTGTGCGCAGAGCGGAAGAGAACGCGGCGGTGTGACAGAGTTATTAATAATAATGAGTTTAATAAAAAGATCAGATGATCGGGTTTAATCTCTGTCAGGATGCCGCTGTTGACTCGGAATAAGCGAATAGAGCGCGTGAGCTCAGCTGCGGAGCTCTTCAGCAAACACCCGCATCTGAAGGTACAAAATCATACACAAAATAATAATATCAGAGCCACTTTAATATTCTAAGAAATATTATACGGCAGTATGTATGCACAGACGGTGAGGTATGCAATACACACAGACCCTCTGTCTCTTAATGTTTAAATACATGTGATGCACAAGATAAACAACAACTTAGAAACCCTTTAGAAATTGTTATATATGAACACACAATTTAAAAAAATATATATTTTCTATTTGCATAGTTTTCATATTTGCATTAGTTTTATTAGATAGATAGATAGATAGATAGTGTGTGCCTGTGTAGAAAATTATTTATTATTTTAATCAGTTATTTATTTATTTAATTGGTACTTGGTCTAAAACGAACTGCTTTTCTCATATTTATGCATGTATTTTTTTTAAAGAGCTCATATTAATTAGATCACATACAGACTACAAGTGCTTTTATAAGTTTATTTGTAATAATTCACACAGCAGGTCTATTGTGGTAAACTGCAAAAATATGAAGCAATAATAAATAAATAAAAAAATCTACAAATGCACTTTTCTGCATACGTTCCAGCAGCTTGATGTTAAAAACATTCACGTCCATGTTATATATATAGTGTACATGGGTCAAAGATGAAAAAGGGTTTAAGCATAAAAACAATAAGTGTAATACTGCTTTAAATTGTTGTTGTTTCCCCCCAACAATTAAAAAAAAAATTATCGTTTAATTTAATTGCAATTTAGTTTTTGTTTTTCTGAGCAAAAAATAAATATCAAACATGTTTCCCTGATTTACAGAAGAGAGCCACTAAAATGTCATTCAGTGTAACAATCTCGTCAGGCACATTTACAACAACAAAAAATCTAATTATGACCTATTAAAAGACTAATTACTTTCACCCCAAATACTAATTAGCTGTAATTTTACATTTTTTAAATATGCCACTATCCTAGGTTTTGCCCATTTGTCAGTAAGAATTTTGTACTCATTTAAAACACAATCAAATTTAATATGCTCACTTATTCTTTTATATATTTTAACATGTACAGGTCAGAATAAGCTTGTTTGAATTTTTACATAAATATTGTGTTACACTGAATGACAAAGTAACATTATTTCAACCAAATTTTGACATTTTATTCTCCAAAAACTTAAAAGTAGACACTTTACTTACATTTAATGTGCTTTCTATGGACATAAAATCACTTAATGTCTTTGACCCACACACAGTAATTAGAGGTCACTGATGCGTCTCTCTTAGGAAAGTGCTCAGCAGTTTGTGTCCAGAAGTCCAGAGTCTGTGGACCCTAAACAGCTCCTGTATGTCCAGCAGCGGGAGTTTGCGGTGACCACACCAGCGGACAGTGAGTGTTAGCTCTCCAGCTGATGACCGGTGATGTGTTAAACACACGCTGATGTTTCTCCCTCCTCAGATTCGGTCTCTATCCTGGGATCCGATGACGCCACGACATGCCACTTAGTCGTGCTTCGACACACAGGTAACAGGATCCTTCATAGAGTCAGTGTCTGTGTTGGTTTACTGTGTGTTTGTGTCTGATCCTGTGTGTCTCTCACTGTGATGGCTCCAGCACATGGACTGAAGTTCCTCTGATAGTCAGTGCCGTCACTTCTAGAAGCAGCCCAGCAAAAGAGGGCAGGTGCTGTAGATTCTTCACTATAAAGGACTTTACGAGTCTCTGAGATATGAGATACAGGTGTGTTTGTGTCTTCAGACTGGAGCTGCATCTGGTCGGTGGTTTTGATGACGACAGGAGGACCTCGCACTCACTCAGCTTTAGCATTGTGGGTCGGTTGAGGACAAATGCGTGATGAAGACTAGACGTTCACTGTGGGATCAGAAATCAGAAGTGTTTCTGAATGTTTTGCTTTCAAAAGCAGAAGGAAGAGATTCACCTGGAGACGTGCTGCATCACAGGTCAGAGGAGCGTTTGTGCTGTTCGCTGCCAGTCAGAACCAGGTCACTTTGAAGGGACAGTTCGTCCTAAAGATGTAAATTCAGTCATCACTTGCTCGCCCTTACAAGCCTGTTAGAGAGTATACAGCATGCCGGTTCAAAGATGTGGGATGGAGAAGAGATTTGCACTGAATAACAGTATATATTTATTCATGTATTTGGGTCTGTTCCTCATTCAAAGCTGTTGTATGACTTCCAAGAACATGGAATATAGTGCATGATATTTTTGATAATTGCATAACTTATTCTGTCTCTTTAGACATGAATGACGTCATCAAAGATGGGATGCATCGCCCCGTGGTGTATGGTATAGGTACAGTGCAGCTCTTTCATTGCGATGTGTAATCTGAGTTGTGAATGCAGTGTGAAATATAATACTATAATATATTACTATACTATTATAATATTTCACCGTAAAAACGAAAACACAACAAAACAACAGTAATAATATAATTATTTTTAAAATTTTATTTTATATTTTATTGTATTTATTTTACAGTACTGCAAAATTACAATACTAGTATATATGGCTGTCTTAATTTCTTAATTTTCAAACTTTAAAGCTTCTCTTTTGCTGATTTATGAGCGCTTCAGTTTGTGAAGACGTTTGGTGTGCGTTTCATTGCTAAATGCACATAACAAGCAATTCAAACTCAGAGCGAATGCAGAGATGGAGTTTGTGTGGAGCAGCATTTTATTTATTTGCAAACTAAACCACTTCAAGACTCTGAAAACACACGAGCTGCTCGCGTGTAAATGAACACAGTGTCGCGCTTTACTCTAAAACACACAGAGCTTATGTTTAATTAAATTGCAGCCTTCGTGATTAGATAGCTGTGCTAAGCCATATCGCATTTTGAGTTTTATTTGGATTAATTGTACAGCCTTACATCTGATACTGACAGAGCGTTTCTGTCCGAGTTCAGGAGTGAACGTTAAAACGGGTCACGTGTTTCCAGCCTCGTTCACCTGTCGAGGACCACTCGCACCTTCTCTGGTGCACAGGTACATAGATGAAGCTGTCATGCAATTTAAAGCCCGTGCAGATGGACACCAAACAATGGCCTTCTGGCTGTCCCAAGATGAGGAAACCATCCTACAGGTCTGAATTTGTAATGTGGTCATATTTGTAGTGTGTTTCAGATCTGCAGGATGAATTGGCTCTGCTCATTGATTTCTCGTCTGGTCAGTATTTGTCCACGTCTCCACATGCAGAGCCTCCTCACTTCGTCCATCACATCAAATCCACCATCCAGTTTCTGCTGGATCATCCGACCGCAGACGGGCTGTTTCCAGGCGGTCAGCCGCAACTGTAGCCCCGCGCTGAGGACGGCCGCTGGAAGAGAGCCTAAACGCTGACCTCTGACCTCTGTGACCCACTGTAACCCAACTAAAGGCCTTTGACGTCTGCTGTTTAAAGTAGAAGCTCCTTTACACTGATTTCAACTGAAACAGGCCGATTGAAGCTCAGATTGACTGTTTAAAGGGCCACTTCTACTTGATGGTTTTACTAACACGTGTGTCATTAACCGCACCTGCTGGCCCTTACATACAAACAAGAGTCTATGGACTATTTGTTTTCATTTTTATTTCATATTTGTTATGTATGTCAATGCAAATGTGTTCATGGATCATAAGACGTGTCCTTTATTTTAAACTAATATAATATGATGTTGTTTTCTTCCTAACATCTAGCTGCGTCTTATTTGCTCACTAAACTGTAAATACAGTATGTTGTGATCCTTTGAGGAGGAGTAAAAGAATTACAATTCTGTTGCCGTGGAAACATGGTGTTTTGTTTATTTAAACCTTTGTATGATCATAACAGTGAATGGAAACTTTAAATATATTCCTCTTTAGACTGTGTTGTCTTAACGAGGATCTGCTGATTACTGACACATTTTTAGAATTTTAGTTTGTGCAATATAAAATACTAAAGTACAACACATTGAAAACATTCAAAAGATTTAAAGAGAGAGAGAGAGAGACAGAGAGAGTGTTTGAGAGAGAGAGAGAGAGTGTGTGAGAGAGAGACAGAGAGAGTGAGAGAGAGAGAGACGAGAGTGTTTGAGAGAGAGTGAGTGAGTGAGAGAGAGAGAGAGAGAGAGTGTGAGAGAGAGAGCGAGAAAGAGAGACAGAGAGAGTGAGAGAGAGAGAGAGACAGAGAGATTATTTTACATATCTATTGTTGTTTTGTTTATGTATTATATAACTGTTTATTCCTTATTCATGTAATGGACAATGCTTTGGCAATACTGTGCAAGTCATGCCAATAAAGCTCATTTGAATTTGAATTTGAGAGACAGAGAGAGTGAGAGAGAGAGAGAGACAGAGAGAGTGAGAGAGAGACAGACAGAGAGAGAGACAGAGAGAGAG